CGGTAAGCCTAGATGTACTCGTTTAAGCTTGAGAATTGTTTCTTAAGTGCCTACTGAAGATGGGAAATTTAACGTATATAAAATGAAAGATCTTGGAGAATGAAAATTTTGTTGCAGCCTTACTCACGGCTTCAAAGTTAATCTACCATCATGTTATTTTGAGGATAAAATCTTGTGTTCAGTCTAATGCGAATCCAGAGCTTAAAGGATAACTTACAGTAATGTGAAACTTCCTTGAAAAGAAAGTACTATGCTCTATAATAAGGCAGATACTCTTGGATTTTTTATTTTTTATTTTTATTTTTTTAGTGAGAACCGTACAATGGTAGTAGTGCAATGCTGAAAAATCAACAAAAGAGGGGGAGAATAGATTTTGGTGCCAGTGCTGGGGAAGGTGTTTTTGTTTGCTTGTTTTTTGTTTAATTTTTTTAAGCTTGATCCTTGGCATAAACCTGTGGTTTTGTGTTACTCCTGTGAACCTGAAATATGCAAAGCATGATTTCTCTCCCTCTGTGAAGGAAAGCATCAGAACACTCTTTTGCTAATTGCTTTCCTTGGTCTACAAAGACTTGAACCACAAAGTTGTGGTTTACATCACTTGATAACAATTTTTAATTTGTCTGCTTCCAATTGTTTTACTTCACACATGATTCATTAGCTTTGTTTTAAGGAAAATATTATTTTCAAACAGGGTGCTGGAAAGAAATTGCTTAGAGAGAACAGCTTTCTCTGGTTTTAGACTTATGTTGCTGGATTACGTGTTATTGGCAAATCAGCTTTGATAAGCTAGTTGCCTGGCCCAGTTACTTCCCAGAAGTTGCACAGAAATCTACTTGCTTTTCTGAACTCTTGAAGTTTGGCCAAGATGAAGTAGGAATTATGGGAGCTTCTAGAAAGTTGGGTTTTTCTGAGGGGGGAGGCAGAGCTATTAATGTTCTGTAAGTGGCCAACAAATAAGAAGAGAATGCTTCATAGAATACAGAGGTACTCGTTGAGGACTTAGACTACAGAGAGTTCAGAAACGTGTTGGAAAATTGTATTTGCTTTTTCAAGTCAAATCTTTGAACTCCTGGTAGATAGTGGGAATCACTATTATTTCTCCTTTTAGTGAGTGTGATTCATCAGAAAGATATTGAATGAATCAGAAGGATCATCTCTTCAGCATATAAAGAATGTGTTATGGATAATGTTTTTAAAAGCATGCACAGTATTTTTAAAAACATGTATATTCAGTTGTCGGAAGTGCCTCAGGAGCGTGGCCAGTTGGACTGAGGTACTTGTCCTAGCTTTGAATGAAAAGCTAGATTCCAAGCTGCTTGGCTGCTCTTTGACCTCTGGCCCCAAATTAACAAGTATTGATGAAAACTTTGGAGGAGAAATACCTGTATTGCTTGACTAGCAGGTACTGAAATACTGTGAAAATTAGTGTTCTAAAAAAGTATTTCTGAATACAATTCCTCTCTATACCTTTTGATGCTTTGACTTATTACTGTCCAGATGTCCTATACCATAAGTTGGATAACTCTGTAAAACTAAGGCAAGTCTGTGGAGACAGTGAACTGTACCCATGCCTTGATATGTATATTTTTTTGGGGTGCTTAATTTCACTGGAGCAGGCTGTTTAAAAATAAAGGTGCAATATGAGGTTGTGCTGTAGTTTTCCGATGGCTGATTTTTATGTACTGATCTGTACAGGTGATGTTAAGTCAGGATGATGAGAAAGCAAGTGGTGCAGTGCCGTGCAGACTAAAGCGTGATTTGAGCAGTCACGTTATATGTGACAGTATATACTTATGGGTATGTGTGTATACCTACATATTAAAAAATGCTGATATATTTTCAAAGTTGAAATGACCTTTACATTGTTAGTGATAGTGCAGCTTGTCCCTTAAAAAGGGAGGAAGAAAGTCCAAACTTTTTTTTTTGGTCATTATAGTGGCACTGGGGAATATTTACTATGATACGCTGAGAGGAATGATGGGGAACAGTATGAGAGAGATTCACATAGACTTCCTGTTACATTTTAAAACTCTGTTGTTGTCCCAGAGCACTCATAAAAATATTAGTCACATCAACAAACAATCTAGGAACCTCTTAATGGGTAGCATGCTAAAAAAAAACCCTAGTAAGCTTAGATGCCAGTTTGCCTGAGAGGTCCTAAAATGGCTGATAAATTTCTAAACTGTTTGAAGAGGGGAAGGAGACTTATCAGGCCTCTTTTATTAAAAGAAGTTCTGCCATGTTCTTAGTTCAATGGGAGCAGGGAAAGGAGGCGGAAGCGGAAGATGTACAGCCTTGCAGGAAAAACACTTCCCAGGCACAAGCTTGGGAAGCCTGTGCCTACAAAGGCGCAGCGTAAGTCTTTTTTTGTGCGCAAAAACCAAGTGTGATTTAGATCTGCGTGCCTTCCATTTTAGGGCAATTAAAATCGAAGCAGAAAAGTGTTTTGGAGACCGTCGGGAGGCAGCAGTCACCTGTAGAGCACAGTGTGCCATCTCCTCTGCCGTCTGAGGTGGGCTGCAGCTCCTTCCCTCTGGCAAGCAGGCTGGGAAACTAGATAAATCCCACAAAAAAAAAGGGATCCTAACATCTGTCCTTAAGTTTGCACCTGCCAGACTTATTTGTCTTAACTCTGCCACCTGACGGTTTGAATCCACTTAATGGGTGAAATAAGATAAAACAGATCTGCAGATTGTTTGACAAGCTTAGAGTTTGCCAGGTAGGTAACTTGTTCCACAGATAGTGAATGTGGTGGACGTGGAAATCAGTGGGAGGCAGTTGGCTGTAGAAGGCTACTCGGAGAAAGTGGACGACTTGCCTGGTGACCATGGGAGTCGGGAAGCACTTGAGTCCTGTGTGTGTAGTGCCGGAGCTCACACGTATCAACTGCAAATCATCTTGTGTGTAGAATCCCCGCTTTGTCGTTTAAACTTCAGGTGCAAAACTGACCCATATTCTGGTTTTTGTATCAGAGTAGTCAAAACATAGAATGGAAATGACAAAACCTCATGTTTTAGGAACAGAATTATTATTATTAGATGGAGGTCAAGGAAGAGAATGGCACCATTAATGCACTTGCGTGTGTAGCTTTTATGCCGTTCTATTTCAGGTAATTTGATAGAAGTCCAAAAGCCTGAGACAGATGAATTGTGAGGCAGCAGGGTAGGAGGTAGCGTGCAATAGGCTTGATTAACCACTGGAGCTCCAAAACTGTGTCGTGGTGCAGCTTTTCCAGGACGTTTGTAGGAGCAGGGGAGTTGTGAATGCTGGCAAAAGCAGACCCGCTTCAGTATGGCTAGCACTGCTAAAAGTACTCTTGCAAGAGAGTATCAATTACTTGGATCCTGTCTGAAAGGGACTTGGAATGAGGCATTCCTAAATAACAATAAAACCTTTTTTCACATGCATATAAAACGGCTGGATGTTTGCACTTCAGTCTCTCTATCTCTGTCTCTCTCTTCCTCCCTTCTCCCACTGCAACAGCAGCCCTTGTGAAGCTGAAGTGTCTTAATTTGAGGATAACCTTTCATGTGCACAGTATCAGTAATTAATTTCTGCTGTTGGACTGCATCAATCTAAGAAACAAGTGATTTGCTTTCTATCCTGAAGAATGATGTCAGCAAGTGCTAATTAGAGCGAAAAGACTGTGCAGTCAAGTAGATGGGATAAGCCTATATATTTAGGCATTTCTAAAGATACTATAAGTATGACTTGCTAAGGTTTTTTAGTTTTTTTGTTGTTTTTGTTTTTGCTTTTTGATGCTGCAGCAGATTGGTCAGTATTTGTAAATAAGCCAATAATCCAGATGTGTTTTCCAGGGTAAAACAGTTTTCTGTAGCATGACTTCTCTAGTGGCCATAGCACTTTGTACTGTTGCCCTGTTGGATCTCTGAAGCTGAGCAGGTCAGAAGCTGGCAGTGTGCAGGGAAGAGGTTTTCAGGGAAAGTGGAGGTGTTGCTGGCAGCAGTATGAGTGACAGAGTCCTGTGAGAGGAACCAGTATAACCAGGGGGTTATATAGTATAGTGAACAGTAAAGAAAAATAGTGAATAGTAAAGAAAAAAAGTGAAAAAGTTGAATTCTATAATATCTTCTATTCTTAGTGCACTTGTTAAAAGTGTGTCCTTTGATGCATTATGTTCAGGAAGTGGTTGAATTAATGTGCTTTTTTTCCTCTTGAGAATCTTACCTGTCCATTTCCTGTCCTGAGTAGACAGCAGTGAAACCCAAATGTCACATTAAGGTTGCTATTTTCTATCTTAATTTCTTTTTTTCTTTAGTTCGGAGCTGCAGTATTAGCTTTGATAATATCCTGCAGCAATGAATTCCATGGGTGAACGCCACTGTGAATAAAAAGGAGTACTCTTTAATTCATTTTCAATTTGTTGCCTCAGTAAATAATCCTTTGGATGGGAAAAAGTAAGTATAATCACTTAAATCAACAACAGTCTAGCGTTCTATTTACTCTCACACTTTAGAATAACATTTGCAAGGCATAAAATCAACCGTTAGGATTAACTGTAGAAATTAACAGCTCCGAATTTCCTATCAGTTGTCCAATTCTGAAGAGAAAGAGATGAGGATTTTGCTAAACTTTTCTCCCCCCATAAGTGAGCAGTTTCAGAATACTATACTTTTACATTTTGAATGATGGGAGAACACAGTATAACTGTCTGCTCAGCTTCTTGTCTGAGCTCATTCATATAATCTTTAGTTTGGAAGTTGTTTTGGAAATGAAGTAAAACTTGAAGAAGTGAGTCTGTGTGTTTGTGTGTGATATAGTAATCACTCCTTTTTTGGCAAAATATTATAAAACACAGGATTGCAGACATTACATACTCTGTCTACTGTTTCCAAGACACTAATTTGTTGCATGTAGTTTGACAGACCCATAATTTAAAACTGAAGTATTTAAGCGGTATTAGAGGGAGGGTCAAATTCTGCCCTGGGTTCAGATGTTGCATAGGAGACTAAAAATTATTTCCTTAGCAGATAAGGATGCTTGCCACTGTGCTGAGAGAGGGACAAATGCTACATGGCTCAAAAGATGCTGAGCAACTGCTATCTCTTCGCTCGTCATGCTGATACCAGTCAGTAAACTGTTTGCTCTGTATTGTTTGGCAGAAGGCATATTACTAGGGAAACTAGTTTGTGGGTAATTTGAGGAACACAGAACTCCTCTTGCAAGGAGTGATGTATTCCACAATGCAAGTGTAAATTTAGCCTTAAATTTTGGTCTAGCTTTTATTAAAAGTAGAATGAGATTGCAAAGGATCAGAAAGGAATAATCAGTGAAACACATTTGACAGTCAGTATTCTTCCGTTGTAACCCAAAAGCAAGTCTGTCTCCAAAGTGGTAATCTCTAACTGTAGAAAGTAACACTGATAGATAGCAATGATTGTTTGTTATTGATGTTGTTGATTGACTTGTCTAGCAAACCACCTCCTTGCCTCCAGCAAGCAAATACAATGTCATTTTCTCCAAATTTTATTTTAATACATGGTTGTATGCTGGAAAATGTCTGTAGCGTGCAAGTTTGGCTTCGCTTATGCTTGATGTGTTTGGGTTTTTTTCTACTTTTTACAAAATCTTTCAGAGAAGCACGTTTGCCGTCACTGAGAATAGACTGGCTGATGACCTAAGGCTAATGAGGGAGGTTTGTCTTCCATAAATCCTGATTGATGTAGAAAATTTTCAGCCATAAATAAATATTAGCTCATGTGGCCATTTTGTTAGCCTACTTCTATGAGAGTATTGTTAGACAGTATTCGTAGCTGTAATGTAATGGCTAAAATGTTTCAATTCATTGGTCCTTCACTCAGTGCTTAGAATTTGAAAAAAGTGCTATTATATTTCCTAATAACACTGCATTTTTTTGTCACAGATATACGCTTACATCCGCTTACAGAAGACGACAGTCTAAAAGAAACTACTTATTTTAACCATTTGAAACTTTGTGAGAGACCAGATTGCTTTCTGGGAAGGTATATTGCAGAGCATCTTTCAAAGGGTGCATATTTTCAGTGGCAAGCATGGACTTATAATTGCATTCTACATTTTTTTTTGCACGAGTCATTGATAACATCAAGATTTTCTGTTAGCAATAATTGTATGTTTCTGTGGAGAAATTCATAGAGAAATACTTACACCTTTTCTATGTGCTAGATTATAAAATAGCTTTTTTCAGGTTGTAATGCCATGGATCAAGGAGACCCTCTTCCCCTGTGATGCGTGTGCCACCAGCCAGAGAAGCTGCATGATCTTTTTCATTCTTCCTCGTTTTCTTCTCTTAACATTTAACACTTTCAAATTACTGTTTATTTTAGAAAATAAAGGTCTTTGAAGCATGGGCCGCGTCTCTTATTTGTTAGCTAAATGTTAGCCATGTGTATTTACAGTGTAGTGCTATGCAAATAATAAATATCATTTGTATGGTTTATTTTCTCCAAATTGAAAAGAAAACAATAAATAGCTGTTAAAAAAATGGTTTGGATGAAATGCCATCACTCTCTTCGCAAAAGCTTCAGGTTTCTGATGAAGTTATAATCAAGCTTAGCACTTTCTGCCATCATTTCTCTGTATAATTAAGCAAAAAACTGGTGTGGTACTGCGTCCACTTGTCTCTTTGTGAAAAGGATTCAACTGGTAAGACCTTTCTCTCCAGAATTGGTTCCTTCCAGCACATTTCTTCCTACTAATGTGTATATAGGCTTTGATGTAACATTTTTCTCCAGCCTTGTTGGTTGTTTTTATTTTTTGGTCTGATCAAGTCTCTCCTTCTAACAGAACAGAACAAAAGCCTCTCCTGTGGTTTTAAAAGAGGTTTTATTAATCATTTTCATACATTTACTGATTAGGGCAACTCTTTGTGCTTTACCGGTGTAACAGATGAACTTCTACTCCTTGCCTAATGCGACATCTTTCTGTCCTTCGCTTTCTTGCTTTCATACTCGCGCTTTTCTTACCATATGGCATGCTGGTCAGGGCCTTTGATCTTTGTTGGGCAATAATATCCATGTCCATATTATTGTGAAAATACCTTTCTCTTCCTGCCCCCGAGGGTTGTGTGTGTAGTTTCCATGGGGTGTGGGGCTGTTGGAAGGTCTTCCTGATGTCAGCCTACTGCCGTGCCTGTTAGTAGGGCAGGTCGTACAGCTCGGCTCACAGCTTCCCCCACTTCCTTACACTTAATGGCATGACTTCGTAGTCTGTCATTATAAAATACAAAACATGAAGGTGGGTGGTTTGGACTGGTGAGTGGGGGAGAACCTGGTAAGGCACACAAGCCATATTTATTCCATACCATGCATGCCATAATTTTACTCCCAACTGCTTTGGAAAGAAATCCAGAAATTGACTTCATGTCCTTGTTTGAGGGCTGGTTCCTCTTAGCTGTGGGCCCTGTAATTTTTAAGAGGATATAGCATTTGGTGATGCATTGCTCTTCTACATGCAAAGCCTTTGTCATGGAGGAATTTCAAACTCTGGGAACATTGACCCTGTATTACACTGCCTCGACCCAGCACAACTTTCTTTGCCTGGTTGGCTTCAATTTTTTTGATTTTTTGACCGTGAAATAAGAATCTTGTTAGGCAATCACATGGTTAGGAATCAAGAGAAGAGGCTACAATGGCAAGAGGGCTTTCTTGGACAGTCTTTGGTAAATCTTTTTTTGAAGACAAAATAATAATGATAATATGTGTTAAGTTCAGCCAGGGTTCTTCCTTGCAGGCCTTCAGTATAGCCTATTGGTTTTATCCCTGCTGTCAGTAATTGTGGGACATCCTCTTTTGCTGTCTATGTCCTCTCCATTTGGGAGAACTCTGCATAAGCTGTATTTTATACCACTCACTGCTGTGATATTTGAAGGCTTTCCTTTTTACATATATCCTAATTTTATAATGTACCATCTTTTATATCAGATGAAAAGTAGTACTGCTTGATTTTTACGGAAACTGATTAAACAGGCCAGGAATTTATTATTGTTATTTTATTATCAGTATGAAACCCATAGTTAAAATTCTAGCAGTGTTTCCAGTAGTGCATAAACTTAGTGAATTCATTAAACTTTTAAAAATTTGTTCGGAAAACACATGGCTGTGGTGTAGAATATCAGAGTGACAATTTCTTTATTGTCCTAAGCTGAAGTATGATAGATGAAGCCATGTATCTACTTAGAGGCAAAATATAATACAAGAAATGCTGTGTACATACAGAATTTTAGAGATGTAACGTATCTCAAAATACTCTTCTACAGTGGTTAACCTGTCAGGCATTTGTAATCATTGAACTGAATCAACACACTCAGTCATTATGCCCAATACATAATGTACATAAACATCACAAACTACTTCTCACAACTTTTCACTGCTGTCTGCAAATACAGCCTCTCAGTTGCTCAAAGACCTCTACAAATACGCTTCCTGTTAATTCGCTGAAAGCGAAGGTAAATATACTCTTGTGTGTGTGTTCAAGCAGATCTTTGCAATTTATCATACCACTGCAAATTTAAACAGAAATTACTTTGAGATACAGCAACTGCATATGAAATAAGCCACTCAACTTCTGGCAGCCCATTTAAGCCACTCCCGATTTCAACATTTTTATTGAATGATACAGAGATACCATGGAGTGTAAGACACTGTGCCATTTACAGGGTTTAGAGATGAGGGTTGGCCTAATCATCTAACAGTTTATATCTTCGTATGCACAAATCCCCATTAAAATGCAGAAAAGAAGTAATATGTAAATCTTGTTCCGTACAAATTGGCTGCTCAGTGAGGACCTGTGCTGGGAATAATAAGGAAGTGGCAGGAACTTCCAGATGGTCGATGGTGTGCGCTGGAGGATGCAGCAATGTGAACCTCTGGAATTACATCAGGAGAGGAGCTTATTTCCTGTCTCATCTGGCCACAGTTACTGTATTTGGGGATTTCCATTCGTTTCTTCCATCTGGAGGAAGCCCTTTTCCTGTTGCCCTTGAAATGGAAATGTAGCGGTGTTAAATACAGGGTTGTTCCAACAATACATAATGTTGCAAACTGGAAATAAAAAAGGAAGAAGAGGAAAAAAAGCTCACTGTCAAAGTATCCTGCTTGCATAATTAATGCATGTTAGTCATTGTCAGAGTACGCTGAAACAAGAATGTTGCTTTTTTTTTTAATGGATGAGATAGCTAAGTTGCTGAAATGGGCGTTATAGCTATGTTGAAAATTGCTTCTATCTTTTTAAAGTTATTGATTAAGAATTTTTATTCAAGGTGTAAATGAGTATGTCTTCTGAGGAGGTAGAAGAATATTCCTGGGGATGGGGGAGCAAGTAATTCCATAATCAATCATTTTAGGATTATCATATACCATTTTGAAGCAGTTAAGGTTGGTCACTCCCCTGCAAGGTTTCTGGGATGATTATGGGACAGCCTGGTCTCGTCACCCTTGTGTTCCTCTGTTCATAGTATTGCAGGACCTTTCAGGCTGGAAGGGACCTCAGGAGGACTGTAGTCCAACCTCTTGCTCACAGCAGCGTCAATACTGAATTTGGACCAGGTTGCTCATGGCTTTGTCCTGTTGGGTTTTGAAAATCTTTAGGAGTGGAGGTCCACAACCTCTCTCTGGGCAGCCTGTTCCAGTGCTTGATTGTCTTCACAGTGAATTTTTCCCCCCTTATCCTTATAGCCCCCTGACTTCAATTTTCAGTCGTTGTATCTCATTCTCCTGTACATGCCTGTACTGAGGCAAGGAGTCTGTCTCCATCTTCTCGATAACCTCCCTGTAGGCCCTGAGGAGCTACTGTAGGTGCCCCAAAGCCATCTCGTCTCCAGGGTGAACAAGCCCCATCCCTCAGCCGTTCCTCACATGGCTCCAGGCCTGGCTGCCTTGGTGCCCTCCCCTGGACTTATTCAAGTTTATGAATGTATTTCTTGCACTGGGCGACCCAAAACTGGATGCATACTCCAGATGCTGAGGAAAGGGGAATAATCTGTTCCCTTGACTTGTTGGCTACCCTGCTGTTGGTACAGCCCCATAGCTAGTAATGAATTCTCCAAGACAGATCTGGTCCAAAAATTTTTCACAGTTGTGAAGTGTAAGAAACAGATTAAGATGACTTACAGCTATAATTTTTATTCTTCTTTTTTTTTTTTTAAAAAAACCTCTGATCAAACCAACCAACCGAACAAGAAAACCCTAAACCCACCCTTCTAAATTTAGATCAAAGGATCACAAGTTAAACAAGAAAGTTGATGTTGGATATTATATCTGAACAGTCAGAATTTGTACCCAGAACAGAAGTCTTAGGAATTTTTCTGTCTCCTTTTTGATTTAAAGACCAAACAAAGTGTTTAGCCATTACAGTAAATCCTAAACCATCTCCCTTACATGGAAGTAGCTGCCTTTAAGACATCCTGGTTATGGCTTTTTATTTTTGGTTCCAGCCTGTGTAGCAGGGTCTTGGAAGTCCTGCTGTGAGAAATAGTTTTTTTTATTATTTCTCTAAACTTAATGGTACCTCAAATCTCAGAGTCCAGTTTTCCATTCTTGGTTTTAAAAATAAATTTTAAAAATCATGACATATAGCCACTGTCAGTATCTGTAGGGCATGTTCTGTTTTGTTGTGTCTTTAACACATACAATATGCATCCAAACGCTCAAAACAGATTAAACTAATGTTTCTCAGCTGAAAGTGCTGATTACTAATGAATGCTGTTCTGTAACGTTGGCATAGTCATCTATCACTGATTTTTAATGGAATGATTAATTAATAGGAGAAAATCTAGCCATTTCTTCTCAGTTTCAAGAACTGTCCAATGCTGGCATTCTAAAAGGGGCTAACTGGCCAGTAAATTATTGGCATTGCTTTCCTAGCAATCATGCTCACATAATAGAGCATTTTTAATTAGAAAGTAAGGCTTGTTACTGTGCAAATCACTGACAGCTAATTTGTTTTAAAACCACAGGACAAAAATTAGTTCAGAATGTTTCTGTATTGCGTTCTTTTTCTGACGTGATCTCCGCCTTATGTGAGATTGATACATTACTCTTAGCAGCCATTATTTTATTGTGGGGTGGCAATTTTGAAATAGGTGCTGGAAAAGCTTACTTGTGTTTTGGATTTATGAAACTCTTGATGGTAGTTGTTCAGAGAATCTTTTGTGTTGGGTTTTGGATCCATTGGAATGATTTTTTCCTGCAAATTTTGGTCTGAAAACTGCAAGATTAATATATTTCTTTGACAGTAGTATTTAGCTAACTGTGCTGAGTTTAGAGGGATCAGCCTTC